CTTCTCCTTCTTCTCATCCTTCTCCTTCTCCTTCTTCTCATCCTTCTCCTCTTCTCCTTCTTCTCATCCTTCTCCTCCTCTCCTTCTTCTCATCCTTCTCCTTCTTCTCATCCTTCTCCTTCTCCTTCTCTTTCCTCATCTCCAAGGGCATTTAAATTAAAGGTACAGTGTTCTGCACTAATTTAAAGGCTCTCTGAAGCCTAGAAACCCTTTTTATAAGTCATCTTTGTAGCGAAGAAATTCGCATCGAATCGAATTTCACACTGGAATTCGCCGAATCAGCCGAATCGAATTTTTGAGAAATTCGCTCATCTCTAATTACAAGTCATTCATGCCAAATCAGAAAGACCTCAAATATCCTTAGCAAGAGATAAATAATTGTGGAAGGATTTTTCGATTAATGACTCTCGGGCTCTTAGGGATCTCATGCTCCTCTGGGAGGAGGGCAACCTCCAATATCAATAAGAACAATATTGAGGAATGTTTCTAATGTACTATCTGATCAAGATCCTAGGCTTTGAATATAAAAGGAAAGCTCAGTTCTTCCCTCCTCTTCAGCAGAACTAGAATATATAGGCTTTGTTGAGAAGGCTCTATATGACATCAAACATATGCCAGATGTGGGAACGGGTGGGGCGAATTTGACCGCCTCTCAATAGCAAGCCATATGTACTTTGAAAAGCAATTCTAATATTAATATTAAACCCTCCGACAAGGGGGGGAGGGATGTGGTGATAGAGAACTGTACTAAATATGTTCGAATGTGTTTGAAAATATTAAACAATTCAGATTGGTATAGACAGATTTCTGAAACCAAGTGCTGTCACTTATTATTATTATTAGAGATGAGCGAATCGAACCAGGCGAAGTGGAATTCGTTTCGAATTTCAGGAAAAATTTCGATTCGTGCCGAATCCGAATATTAGCCAACTTCGGGTGCGCGAATCGGATTTTTCCCGATCAGCCGGCAAAAAGTGTCCCTGCAGAGAGCTCCGCTATTTCTGACAGTTCTCTGACAGTTCCTTCACATTTACAGCGGTTGAAAACATTGTATCTATTTGTTTCCATTTAGGATACAGATGTTTTTATTCGGAAACAGATACAATGTTTCAACCACTGTAAATGTGAAGGAACTGTCAGAGAACTGTCAGAAATAGCGGAGCTCTCTGCAGATACAGTTTTTGCTGTACTGGAATACTTCTTCTTTTCATTCTTCTTTTCTCATTCTTCTTTTCATTCTTCTTCTTCTTCTTTTCATTCTTCTTTTCATTCTTTCATTCTTCTTTTCATTCTTCTTTTCATTCTTCTTTTCATTCTTCTTCTTTTCATTCTTCTTCTTTTCATTCTTTTTCTTCTTCTTCTTTTCATTCTTCTTTTCATTCTTCTTCTTCTTCTTTCTTCTTTTCATTCTTCTTTTCATTCTTCTTCTTCTTCTTTTCATTCTTCTCATTCTTCTTTTCATTCTTCTTCTTCTTCTTTTCATTCTTCTCATTCTTCTTCTTTTCATTCTTCTTCTTTTCATTCTTCTTTTCATTCTTCTTCTTCTTCTTTTCATTCTTCTTCTTCTTTTTCATTCTTCTTTTCATTCTTCTTCTTTTCATTCTTCTTTTCATTCTTCTTCTTCTTCTTTTCATTCTTCTTCTTCTTCTTTTCATTCTTCTCATTCTTCTTTAAATTTCTTTCTTTTCATTCTTCTTCTTTTCATTCTTCTTCTTCTTCTTTTCATTCTTTCTTTTCATTCTTCTTCTTCTTTTTCATTCTTCCTCTTCTTCTTTTCATTCTTCTTTTCATTCTTCTCATTCTTCTTCTCATTCTTCTTTTCATTCTTCTTCTCATTCTTCTTTTCATTCTTCTTCTTCTTTTTCATTCTTCTTTTCATTCTTCTCATTCTTCTTTTCATTCTTCTTTTCATTCTTCTTCTTCTTCTTTTCATTCTTCTTTTCATTCTTCTCATTCTTCTTCTCATTCTTCTTTTCATTCTTCTTCTCATTCTTCTTTTCATTCTTCTTCTTCTTTTCATTCTTCTTTTCATTCTTCTCATTCTTCTTTTCATTCTTCTTTTCATTCTTCTTCTTCTTCTTTTCATTCTTCTTCTTCTTTTCTTCTTCTTCTACTTCTTTCATTCTTCTTCTTCTTCTTCTTTTCATTCTTCTTCTTCTTCTTTTCATTCTTCTTTTCATTCTTCTCATTCTTCTTTTCATTCTTCTTCTTTTCGTTCTTCTTCTTCTTCTTCTTTTCATTCTTCTTTTCATTCTTCTTCTTCTTTTCATTCTTCTTCTTCTTCTTCTTTTTCATTCTTCTTTTCATTCTTCTTTTCATTCTTTCTCATTCTTCTTCTCATTCTTCTTTTCATTCTTCTTCTCATTCTTTTCATTTTTCATTCTTCTTCTTCTTTTCATTCTTCTTTTCATTCTTCTTCTTCTTCTTTTCATTCTTCTTCTTCTTTTCATTCTTCTCATTCTTCTTTTCATTCTTCTTTTCATTCTTCTTCTTCTTCTTTTCATTCTTCTTCTTCTTCTTTTCATTCTTCTTTTCATTCTTCTTCTTCTTTTCATTCTTCTTCTTCTTCTTTTCATTCTTCATTTCATTCTTCTCATTCTTCTTCTCATTCTTCTTTTCATTCTTCTTCTCATTCTTCTTTTCATTCTTCTTCTCATTCTTCTTTTCATTCTTCTTCTTCTTTTCATTCTTCTTTTCATTTTCTTCTCATTCTTCTTTTCATTCTTCTTTTCATTCTTCTTCTTCTTCTTTTCATCTCTTCATTCATTCTTCTCATTCTTCTTCTTCTCATTCTTCTTCTTTCCATTCTTCTTCTCATTCTTCTTTTCATTCTTCTCTTCTTCTTTTCATTCTTCTTTTCATTCTTCTCATTCTTCTTTTCATTCTTCTTTTCATTCTTCTTCTTCTTCTTTTCATTCTTCTTCTTCTTTTCATTCTTCTTCTACTTCTTTTCATTCTTCTTCTTCTTCTTTTCGTTCTTCTTCTTCTTCTTTTCTTCTTTTCATCTTCTTCTTCTTCTTCTCATTCTTCTTCTTCTTCTTTTTTCATTCTTCTCATTCTTCTTTCTTCTTCTTTTTTTTCATTCTTCTTCTCATTCTTATTTTCATTCTTCTTCTTCTTTTCATTCTTCTTTTCATTCTTCTTCTTTTCATTTCTTCTTTTCATTCTTCTTCTTCTTCTTTTCATTCTTCTTCTTCTTCTTTTCATTCTTTCTCATTCTTCTTTTCATTCTTCTTTTCATTATTCTTCTTCTTCTTTTCATTCTTCTTCTTCTTCTTCTTTTCATTCTTCTTTTTCATTCTTCTTCTTCTTTTTCTCATTCTTCTTCTTCTTCTTTTCATTCTTCATTTCATTCTTCTCATTCTTCTTCTCATTCTTCTTTTCATTCTTCTTCTCATTCTTCTTTTCATTCTTCTTCTCATTCTTCTTTTTCATTCTTCTTCTTCTTTTTCATTCTTCTTTTCATTCTTCTCATTCTTCTTTTCATTCTTTTTTTTCATTCTTCTTTTCATTCTTCTTCTTCTTCTTTTCATTCTTCTTTTCATTCTTCTCATTCTTCTTCTCATTCTTCTTTTCATTCTTCTTCTCATTCTTCTTTTCATTCTTCTTCTTCTTTTCATTCTTCTTTTCATTCTTTCATTCTTCTTTTCATTCTTCTTTTCATTCTTCTTCTTTTCATTCTTCTTCTTCTTTTCATCTTCTTCTACTTCTTTTCATTCTTCTTCTTCTTCTTTTCATTCTTCATCTTCTTCTTTTCATTCTTCTTTTCATTCTTCTCATTCTTCTTTTCATTCTTCTTCTTCTTCTTTTCATTCTTTTCTTCTTCTTTTCATTCTTCTTCTTCTTTTCATTCTTCTTCTTCTTCTTTTCATTCTTCTTTTCATTCTTCTCATTCTTCTTTTCATTCTTCTCATTCTTCTTCTCATTCTTCTTCTCATTCTTATTTTCATTCTTCTTCTTCTTTTCATTCTTTTTTTCATTCTTCTCATTCTTCTTTTCATTCTTCTTTTCATTCTTCTTCTTCTTCTTTTCATTCTTCTTCTTCTTTTCATTCTTCTTTTCATTCTTCTTCTTCTTCTTTTCATTCTTCTCATTCTTCTTTTCATTCTTCTTCTTCTTCTTTTCATTCTTCTTCTTCTTCTTTTCATTCTACTTCTTCTTCTTCTTTTCATTCTTCTTTTCATTCTTCTTATTCTTCTTTTCATCTTTCTTTTCATTCTTCTTTCTTCTTCTTCTTCTTCTTCTTCTTCTTCTGGCAACTCCACCACGCAGCTCATTTTTGTTCCAGTATTACTGTATTTTGCTCCTTCAAAATCCTGAAACTTTCTTTTGGCAGGTGTACAGACTCAGGTACTCAGTGCAGGAATGGTGGGAATCCCTCACAATGGACACAGCAGGTGTACATACAGACCCAGGAATTCAACACAGGGACAGTGGGAACCCCTAATAATGGGTAAAGCAGGTGGGCAGACCCCGGAATCTCAGCACATGGATGGTAGGAACCCCTCATAATGGGCACAGCAGGTGTGCATACCCAGAACCTCAGCACAGGGATGGTGGGAACCCCTAGTAATGGGCGCAGCAGGTGTGCAGACCTGGGACCTCAGCACAGGGATGGTAGAAACCCCTCATAATGGGAACAGCAGGTGTACAGACCCAGGAATTTAGCACAGGGATGGTGGGAACTCCTCCTAATGGGCAGAGCAGGTGTACAGACCCAGGAACTCAGCACAGGGATGGTGGGAACTTCTCATAATGGGTGCAGCAGGTGTGCAGACCTGGAACCTCAGCACAGGGATGGTGGTAACCCCTCATAATGGGCACAGCAGGTGTGCATACCCAGAACCTCAGCACAGGGATGGTGGGAACCCCTAGTAATGGGCGCAGCAGGTGTGCAGACCTGGGACCCTCAGCACAGGGATGGTAGAAACCCCTCATAATGGGAACAGCAGGTGTACAGACCCAGGAATTTAGCACAGGGATGGTGGGAACTCCTCCTAATGGGCAGAGCAGGTGTACAGACCCAGGAACTCAGCACAGGGATGGTGGGAACTTCTCATAATGGGCGCAGCAGGTGTGCAGACCTGGAACCTCAGCACAGGGATGGTGGGAACCCCTCATAATGGGCACAGCAGGTGTGCATACCCAGAACCTCAGCACAGGGATGGTGGGAACCCCTAGTAATGGGCGCAGCAGGTGTGCAGACCTGGGACCTCAGCACAGGGATGGTAGAAACCCCTCATAATGGGAACAGCAGGTGTACAGACCCAGGAATTTAGCACAGGGATGGTGGGAACTCCTCCTAATGGGCAGAGCAGGTGTACAGACCCAGGAACTCAGCACAGGGATGGTGGGAACTTCTCATTATGGGCGCAGCAGGTGTGCAGACCTGGGACCTCAGCACAGGGATGGTAGAAACCCCTCATAATGGGAACAGCAGGTGTACAGACCCAGGAATTTAGCACAGGGATGGTGGGAACCCCTCATAATGGGCAGAGCAGGTGTACAGACCCAGGAACTCAGCACAGGGATGGTGGGAACTTCTCATAATGGGCGCAGCAGGTGTGCAGACCTGGGACCTCAGCACAGGGATGGTAGAAACCCCTCATAATGGGAACAGCAGGTGTACAGACCCAGGAATTTAGCACAGGGATGGTGGGAACTCCTCCTAATGGGCAGAGCAGGTGTACAGACCCAGGAACTCAGCACAGGGATGGTGGGAACTTCTCATAATGGGTGCAGCAGGTGTGCAGACCTGGAACCTCAGCACAGGGATGGTGGGAACCCCTCATAATGGGCACAGCAGGTGTGCATACCCAGAACCTCAGCACAGGGATGGTGGGAACCCCTCATAATGGGCACAGCAGGTGTTAGGGGGTTTAAACTCTCCAGCATCCATTAGAGACTGATATAGTAATATAGTTCATTCTTCTTTTCATTCTTCTTCTTCTTCTTCTTTTCATTCTTCTTCTTCTTTTCATTCTTCTTTTCATTCTTCTTCTTCTTTTCATTCTTCTTCTTCATTCTTCTTCTTCTTCTTTTCATTCTTCTTCTTCTTTTCATTCTTCTTCTTCTTTTCATTCTTCTCATTCTTTTTTCATTCTTCTCATTCTTTCTTCTCATTCTTCTTTTCATTCTTCTTCTCAATCTTCTTTTCATTCTTCTTCTTCTTTTCATTCTTCTCATTCTTCTTTTCATTCTTCTTCTTCTTCTTTTCATTCTTCTTCTTCTTTTCATTTTTCTTTTCATTCTTCTTCTTCTTTTCATTCTTCTCATTCTTCTTTTCATTCTTCTTCTTCTTCTTTTCATTCTTCTTTTCATTCTTCTTTTCATTCTTCTTCTTCTTCTTTTCATTCTTCTTCTTCTTCTTTCATTCTTCTTTTCATTCTTCTTCTTCTTCTTTTCATTCTTCATTCTTCTTCTTTTCATTCTTCATTCTTCTTCTTTTCATTCTTCTTCTTCTTCTTCTTCGTCGTGCCCCGTGACTGCCCAAATGAGTGAAGTGTGCGGTGATTCTAAGATCGACGGCACTCATCTGCATGTCATACTGACTGACAGTATTATTTCTCTTCCCCAGCAGACTCCAAGGGCATTTAAATTAAAGGTACAGTGTTCTGCACTAATATAAAGGCTCTCTGAAGCCTAGAAACCCTTTTAATTAGTTAAATTTGCAGCGAATAAATTCGCATTGAATCGAATTTCTCCCGCAAATTCGGCGAATCAGCCGAATCAAATTTTTGAATAATTCGCTCATCTCTAATTATTATTATTATTATACAGTATTTATATAGCGCTAAATGGTTTGCTCAGCGCTGTATAGTGGGGGACAGTACATCAGACAATACAGTAACAAAACACGAGGGGTTCAAGGGCCCTGCTCTTTTGAGCTTACAATCTAGGAGGGAGGGGATAGTGGTACAGGAGGAAGTGGCTGTGGGGGATGGAGTGGTAGGAGGAGTGGAGGAGATCAGCTGTTAGGTGAGGGTGGGATAGGCTTCCCTGAAGAGATGGGTTTTCAGGGTGCGCCTAAAGGTGAGGAGAGTAGGTGACAGTCTGATGGATTGGGGTAGTGAGTTCCAGAGGATGGGGAAAGTCCTGGAGAAGTCCTTCAGTCGGGCGTGGGAGGTGGAGACCAGGGAGCTAGAAAGTAGGAGGTCTTGTGAGGAGCGAAGATTACGGGTAGGGTGGTATTTGTGTATCAGGTCGGTGAGGTAGTTTGGGGCAGCGTTATGAATGGCTTTGTATGTCTGTGTTAGTAGTTTGAATTTAATGCGTTGGGCAATCGGGAGCCAGTGGAGGGAATGACAGAGGGGGGTGGCAGAAGCGGAGCTGTTGGTAAGGTGGATGAGTCTGGCCACTGAGTTCAGGATAGACTGAAGCGGGGATAGTCTGTGATGAGGTAGGCCAGTGAGAAGGGAGTTGCAGTAGTCCAGACGTGATAAGGGAGTGTACTTATGCTGCTCAGCTCTGCCCTTGTGCCATGACTTATATGCAGAGGGTGTCAGCATTCATATGTAAATAACTGGCATTCATATGTAAATAGAGGTAGGTCAGCAGTAGCAATATGGAAATAGCAGGGGCATTTATATGTATATTATGCCCCCTGTGGTACCAGCCACCATCACCTCTATGGAATGTTGCCCACTGGGGAGGCTAACAGTGGCATGCTTGAATGTCCTGCCTGCAACTGTGGTTGCTGAGCCTCCCATCAGCCTGTTCTACAAAGGTAAGCAAAGTGTAAGCAGAAAAGAAATTACAGTTTGGGGTGCACAGGTGAGCAAGAAGGGGATATACAGAGGTAAGGAAGGTGGGTGCAAAGACGAGCAGAGGAGGCATGTAGATTTAAGGTGGGAGGGAGGTTGGAGTGGAGAGGATAGAGGAGGTTTGGGGTGCTGAGGTTAGCAAGGAAATTTAGGATGCAAAGGTGAATTGACAGGGTGGATAAAGATATACATGTAGGGCAGCCCATTCATTTCAATGAGGTGCTCTATGCGTTAGAAATGCAGAAATAAAGTCCCTGACCTTCTTTCAAAATCACACTGAGCCACAGCACTATGAATTTTGGTGCATGTGGAGACGCTCTTGTTTCCAACACATAGAAATTTGAACATAGGCTTAAATGTCTCAATTACATTGGTGGTTAGTGTATATCTTCTCATTACATTGGGGCTTAGTGTACAATCCTTTCATTCACACTAATGGTAATTGTGAATGCCCCACCTAAAATTGGTGGTCAGTGGAAATCTCTCCTCACATTGGTGGTCACTGTGAATGCTCCTATTACATTAGTGGTAAGTATAAATCCCCTTTACATTGGTACAGTGTAGAAACTCCTCTTTTTATTGGTAGTTAGTAAAAAATCTTAGCTTGCATTTGTGGTTAGTGTCGAATCCACCTTTATATTGGTGGTCCATGTAGATGCCTCCCTTAAATTGGTGGTCAGTGTAAATTTCCCCTTACATTGGTGGCCAGTTTAGAAATGTTTTGGTTGTTTGTGTAAAATTCCTCATTACATTTGTCAGTGTACATTTTTCATTATATTGGTCATCAGTGCAAATTCTCCATTACATTGGTGGTCAGTGTAAATTTCCCTTTACATTGGTGGTAAGTGCAGAATTGCCTTTACACTGGTGGTCAGTGTAAATCATCTCTTATATTGGTGGTCGACGTAGAAATGTCATCTCCCATCCCCATCTAGCACTGCCACTGATCCCATCCACCCCAAGTACTGCCACTGATTCCATCCCCCCCACCAGAACTCTCACTCCTCCCATACCCCCAGCACTGCCCCTTTAACCATCCCCCCCTACCACTGGCACTGATCCCATCCCCCCACCACTACCACTGATCCCATCAACGTCCCAAGCACTGCCACTGACAGCACCCTTCCCCCAGTACTGCCACAGATTCCAGGAGTCCCAGAACTCCTAGGAGATTTCTGTCTTTTAGTGGGTCCCCTCACCTTCCCAGTCCATGGTGTTCAGGAAGTGAGTAGATGATGTGCTGTAACCTTCAGCAACCAATCAGTGAGCTGTAATGATGTGCCGTAACATCTAGCAATCAATATAAATAATAATGATGCACACTAACCAAAAGCAAACAATCAGTGAGCAGTAATAACGTGCAGTAACCTATAGCAACCAATCAGTGAACCGTAGTGATCTACTCAGTGGTGTATTTTGGTTTTGTGCTGCCCTAGGCAAGACTAAAATTGGGCACCCAATAGTGCCCCATCATTAGTGTCAGTGTGAGGAATAGTACTCCATCATTAGTGTCAGTGGGAAGAATCGTGCCCCATCATTGGTGTCAGTGGGGTGTCAGGAATAGTGCCCCATCATTGGTATCAGTGGGAGGAAGTGCCTCATCATTAGTGTCAGTGGGAGGAATAGTGCCCCATCATTGGTGTCAGTGGGAGGAATAGTGCCCCATCTTTGGTGTCAGTGGGAGGAAGCGCCCCATCATTGGTGTCAGTGGGAGGAATAGTGCCCCATCATTGGTGTCAGTGGGAGGAATCGTGCCCCATCATTGGTGTCAGTGGGAGGAATAGTGCCCCATCATTGGTATCAGTGGGAGGAAGTGCCTCATCATTAGTGTCAGTGGGAGGAATAGTGCCCCATCATTGGTGTCAGTGGGAGGAATAGTGCCCCATCTTTGGTGTCACTGGGAGGAAGCGCCCCATCATTGGTGTCTGTGGGAGGAATATTGCCCCATCATTGGTGTCAGTGGGAGGAAAAGTGCCCCTTCATTGATGTCAGTGACACCAATAAGGGGGCACTATTCCTCCCACACTGACACTAATGATGGGGCACTATTGCTCCCACTGACACCAATGATGGGGCACTATGCCTCCCACTGACACCAAAGATGGGGCACTATTCCTCCCACTGACTATTCCTCCCACTTACATCGCTGTGCGGACCCCTGCTCCAGCCCGGGCTCCCTCCTTCAGGCACAGACACTTACCCATCAGCTGTCTTCCTTCTCCAGCCGCTCTCCTCCTCTTCACCAGCTCCAGCTGCTCCCTCACTCGATCTTCAATCTTCGTGTTGCCGCTCAGCTTCTCCTCTCCAAGCTCTGCCTCCTCGCCTGTGATTGGCCACCTGTGTGCCTTTTCTGAGCTACAGATCTGGCGGCCAAGCACCAGCAAGGAGGTGGAGCTTGCAGAGTGAGGGACAGGCTGCCATAGGCTGCCCAGTGATCCTAGGGGTGTGGCCAGATTCGAGGGGTGGCTTGTCATCCCGCCCACATCGCGATCAAGATCCAGGAAGATGAAGACACCGGACGGACACCCTCTGCACACCTCCTCCAGCAGCGCCTTGTGGACCGGATCGACGTGGGACACGGAGTCGCAGACACAGGTAAGACACAGCAGCCCCTGTTCCTTTCCCACGGATGTGTCCCTTCTGTGGGAAAGAGGGGGGGGGCGGCGCTGCCGCCGTGCCGCCGCCAATCCCCCGAAAAGTGCCTGACCTGCTAAATAAACTGATTTTGAGTCTAGCTGTTATTTATTGTATGCTTTCAAGCAGGTGAAGAGTGAAATTGTATGGGGAAGGCCCAGGAAAGTATTTGCACAGGGTTCAATCAATATTAAAGATGGCTCTGGTTATATGT